TTTTTTTTTTTTAATTAAAGAAATTCTAACCCAATAATATCTCGTCACATCATGTGTATATAAATCCTTATGTAAATATATTATACAATAATGAATTGGATGGCATGGTTTTCGAGTTCTATGATGAGATGTGCCTTAGTTGTTAATATTGAGATATTGTCCTTTTAAATCATAATGTCCATTCGCTTTAAGTGATTTGAATTTATTCTTATTAATCGAATAAAAAGAAAGAAAAGACCCAAAATCCAACCATTTTTAGGCAAGGAAGGTATCATTTTGACGTGTTTCGATTCTTCCAAATAAGAGAGGTTTGATGCTTTTGAATTCATTGTATTAAGTCCACTTTTCTACTCACCGTATACCATATTTATGATCTTGCCTTATTATTCAATTGTCGTGTATTTAGCTATTAAGCATCAAAGTTTATGTTTTTATGTGATAGCAACATCAAAAAGAAAGTCTAAATCTCATTTGTGAATAATTATGTACATATAGCATCACTCTAGTTGGAAATATAAATTAATTTTTTTTCTAGTACACCATACATTAACAGCTTGTTTAAGCCCTATTTTTATTGAAAAATATAATTTGAAATAATAAATTGATGGAAATTTGTTGTTAAAAAATAAGAAAAAGTTTTGAATTTGCGTATAGTATTATTTTATCAAAAATGTTTGATTAAAAAAGAAAAAAGAAAAATGTATTTTGAAAATAATAAGAATCAAATAAGGGCTAAATAATTATTTAAATAAAAGTAGTTCATATTTATTGATATTAAGGCAAACTAAATTAAAATGGATAAAAATAATGATTTTTACAATGAAATATAAATTAAGAGTGAGGCCAATTGGTCTTTTGCATCTTTTTAACTTTCTTGGAAGCTTGGTACAATTATAATTAAAATCTATAATTGGAAAAAAATAAATGATGTTTTCACTAAAAAAAGCACTTAGAAATTGTATAACTTTTAATAGAAAATTGAACCAGACACAATTCACAATAGTTGACGAACCAATTGATGTTAACTTTCGTTATTCCTCTTCGAAAGCTACTTTTCTCGAATCTGAAATTTAGCGCGCCAAAGTCGTTTCCGATTGCTAATTCTCATTTGACTATGGAGCTTGAAGTCTTTCATAAGGTTCGCCAACAACCCTCAACGCTATTATACTGATTGTTTCTTTGTCCAAATTGACGACCCAATTATGAATTGTCAGATAGGACTTGGAAATTTTGTGTTTTCGTGTACGGTTTATTTTGTCGCCTGAATTGGGGATTTTGTTTGTGTTACGATATGTAAATTGTATATATTATCAAAATTAGGAAGTAATTAGTTTATTTGACAAAAAATTTAGGAAATGATGATGTTCATTTAGGAATACAGATCTACAAATAGTTTAACATTCATCGAATTCGTTTCTCTCTCTCTCTTCCCCATAATCATTATTCATGAAACAGAGAGTAATTCAGTATGCACATGCTATTACCTTTCTGGGTTGTTGCACCGAAGCTGAGGGAACTAAGGTTTAGTTCACTTAAGTTTGATATCTGGTGGGCTAAAAATGACATTTCTGATTCATTGTAAATACTGATTCTCTCAAGAGTATTCACTATTTTGGCCCTGGATAAAGTGCTGAGGAAGTTATGACTATTTCCTGAACGAGTTATGCTATATTACTAGATTGATTTTACCAGAATTGTGTCGGGTTAACACTTGGAAGCATTTCATTGGTAATTGGAAAAATCTGGCACAACTCTGGTAAAACAATCTGGTAAAATGGCATAACTCTTCCTAAGCCTCATGTTTATGCTCATGGAAAGGAAGTAATTTATTCCCCTTCCGATAATAAGTCAAGGCTATCTGCATTAGTAAGATTAGGTAATTTTTTTAATAGCTAAATTATTAAACTAAGAGAGGTAAGTCCTTAAATTTTTTGAAAGCAACTGAGTATACTACTATAATTTTGAAACTAGCTGCTGTTTAGTATTCAAAACCACAATGCTATTTTTGGTAAATCTAGAAGTGGAGAGGCTAAATTGGATGTTAAGAACTCATAGACCATGCCTGTGAGATGAATTTATATTTCCTTTTAATCTTGACATGTCATGCTTTTGACCACACAATAATTGTTTAACAATTGCTGCTAATAATTATTATTTACTGCTTTACGTTATTGCACTTTACTACTGCGCTAAAAGTAGGTAAGTTTTTGGAAAACGAGATCAACCAACTGATTTGAAGGATTGACTGCATAATTTTTGAATGGAAGTTCTTATCAATAGTTCAAAAACCTAGAATTCTAGATTGAAGATTTGGTGACATGTTTAGTAGTAGAGTGATCACAACGAAAGTCAAATTTGAAGTCAAATATAGGATATTACTGAAACATGTGATTGGGTATGTATGATCAGAATTGTATATTTATTTGTTCCTTGTATTCTTTTGATCATTGAATCAGAAAAGTTGATGTCTGACTAACTACACTTCTGGTGTTCATCATTTGACGAAAATGCGACTTCATTATTTCTGACTCCTTGTATCTGGGATATTACTTTAGCCTTCAAAAATTCGAAAATAGTTGTTGATTTATGGCACGTAGAAATATAGTTTCCTTTTCCATTTTTCCTAGCATAACTTGTTACGGATTTTGAGCTTTCGTTCCCCGGATTTGCTGCAACCTTATACAAGCTGCATGTTTCTGTCCCCTCGCAAACAAAAGGGAAGTTAAATGCTTACTATTTACCCTTTTTTACCTTCAAATGCCTTCCTCTAATACATTCCCTTTTACATACAGAGGTTACTAGGTAATGAAGTTTCCTGATTTCTACTTGACCAACAAGAGAGTTGGCAGGAAAACTTCATTCTCTGTCAAAACAAAATGTGTAAAGGAAGTCTAAGGCAATTACTCTGAAAATATTATTTAATGCTGATTACCGTAAAATAGCACGACAATCTACAGTGTAAATTTTTTCATTTGCATAATTTAAATATAAGCTGGTGGTTCCTAGTGGACAGAGGTAATAGTTAGAATAATGGAACATTAAACTTTTCTTGTATGGTTAATGCTAAAGATCTTGTATGTTTGCCACTTTGCATATGAGGTCACAATAGAAGTTTAATATTACTCTCTCTTTACATAAATCAATATCATAAGCTTCATCTTAGTTATGATACAGGAGTTCTAGTAATGGTACAAGTGGAATTGAAGGCAAAACACATGTTATTACAAGTTTTTTAGAATTTGAATTTGTTTGGCCTCACAGTGAAGAATTATTAGATACGGGTGCGAGTAATTTTTAATAATACTTTTTTGGGTCTGACCGGCACTACAGAGTAATGAAATTAGTCAGTTATCTATCTCAAAGCATGTTTAGAAAGTATTTATAAATGGTTTGAATTATAAATGGATAGATGAGTGATGAATATGTAGATAGTACTTATGAATCCCTCGAAATGTAAAGATAAAAAGTACATTGAATTTTTATATGCACATGAGCCAAACATTGGCTTAACTTTCCCTTCCCTCACTCTCCCTTCTTTGTATATATGTGCGCACGAGCATGTGCGAGTTAGTCCAAATCCTGTATATATATATATATTATTTATTTATTTATTTATTATTATTATTTTTTTTGGGGGGTTAAATCACACATAGTCTATCCATTTATTTTTTTCCCACCACACTTCTTCACTAGTCTGTTAATTTTTCACCTCTGTATATTGTTTGCCTGGATCAATCCATTTGAATAGTACTAAAGTGCTTGAAACATAAAAAATGGTATTGCATTAATTTTGTAGCAACGAGTCGAACTTTTGTGATTCTTGCAGATGAACAGTCAACCGGAAGTTTGAATTTAAGTAGAAGGGGGTGAAGGTAGTTTCTTAAAACTACCCATGGTGAGAACAAAAAGAGAATGAGGAATGGATGTCTCAGAGGGTAACAGAGTTCAAGAAGTCGGAGGATTTAGTTGAATAAGATTCACAGAACAAAATCTCTAGCCACTCATAACAACCCCCCTCCCCCTCATATTGCCTTCAAGCTCATCTCTGTCACCACTCCATCCTCTGTTGTTGATTTGTCCAATGTAACTGCAGACAGTGTCCCTGGCAAAAGTGACTTTGGTCATCCCTTGTTGGATTGTCTTTGCTAAATTTGTGTTCACGACCAGTTGGTCGTTTCTTTTCTTTTCTTCTTCTTCTTTTTTTTTTGTTTAAGTTTTTCTTTCCTTGGATAATGATATTATACTAATATTTTAATGCATTGATAAAAGGAAATGACTTAGCATTGATATTTTCTTAATTCCAAGTGTTCTTGAAAAGAAAAATATGGATAAGGGAAATAATATTTCCCCGTTCTTGGTAGTTAGTTCATCCCTTTTCAGGTATTCATTCCTTTAAGAGTGTATATTTCTTTCTGAAGCTGAATATTGTTGATAAGTTATGTATGTTCAATTGTTGTAGGAAAGTTGGCTGTATCAGTGTTGCTACTACATTTACTGGTAGCCTATTCTAAAATCGTCTCTGGTTGAAAAAGACTCTTCTGGCCCCAGAGAATTACCCTTTTGGTCCCTTTCTAGTAAGTCATGATGAAAATGACCGTAAGGGTAAGAAAAAGGGTAATGCCAGGCGCTACTCAGTAAACTTTCAAGCTATGCTTCTTGTTATGCAATACACCACTTGTATTAGTATTTAATCAAAGTTCCCAAATTTGGGTTTGAATTCCTTGATTTGAGTATAGAGAGCATTTTGCTTTTCACGCCCTAAAAAGGGACTAAAAGAACAATACTGAGTAGATCCTGTTTAATGTACTATGGCAATGCAGTGTTTTCCTTTTCCTATATTCATTTTCCGAACGTAGCTTAAGAGAAATGATGAACCTGACTTTAATTGTTTTTTTGGATGCTTATTATGATATATACTTCTAATTACTAGCCCTTTTAAGGATTGTCTTTTGTACATTCGATTGTTTTGATGTGTCCTTACAGGTTAATTATATTTACCATTATTTCTTTTTGGGTTTTGTAATTTTCATATCCGTTTTTATACTCTTATTAAGTAGACAAGAGCATGTTTGGTTAAATTTACAACAAGTAAATTTACTTCTAAGTAACTTTATATCTCCAAACATGTTTGGATAATTGAAAATTTGAAGTATAAAAAGTTATTTTTTCTGAAAGTAAATCTTACCTCCTTTCAAAAAAACAGATGTATTTCAGAATATATTTGATAAAAGGATTCTTTATTTTAATACACATTCACTTATAAGTAAACTTTTTAAGCTTAGTCAAACATGCTCGATGTATGTTATACACCGGAGTTGGCCTTCCCATGTGGGGCTTCATTAATCATCTCTTTGGGAAAAAAAAAAATTGACTGTACATGAGTATTGTGATAAGATTACTACTATGAGTTGTAAATGAAAATGTTACACTAAGGTTCACAGAAGTTGCTTGTGGTTCTGTGCTAATATGGCATGGATTATTTTCATATACAGAAAAGAAAGAAAAAAATGGA